CGCCTGGCCGGGCGCACGATTGCGCTTCGACCAAAAAGGGCGCCCTGCACTTTTTGCCTAGCTAGTTTTGGATAACCGTCGTTAGCGCAGAGCTTGTATCCCCGAAGATCCCGTATTCCATGCCTCATCACTATCTAGTTTTCACGGCCGCGATTTCCCTCATAAAGCGAAGATGCGATTTTTTTGGGGGTGGGTTCAAACCTGAGTTTAAGCCTGGGCGCAGTCATGGCTTTGAACCAGACTTCGAACCTGGATTCAAACCGATTCATGACAGTTTTCATGCATGCGATTTCTGTTGTGGTGCGTTTTTTTAGCAACGTCGACAGGCCAATAGCTGTCGCAGCAACAACTTGATGTTGCAACATCTCATGATCTCAGTTGCCGCAGGACAGGAGAAACCCTTGCTTTCACTGTCGATTGAAGAGTCTGCTCCTCAGGGAGTCTCCGGGTTAGCCGATCCTGAGCTGTAGCTGTCTGCATGTCTGTTCGCCCTTGCTTCTTGTATGCTGTGCAGAACACGGATAGCCTAGCCAGCCCAGGCGAACTGAAAGGGGGTTCTTCTTCCAAATCCGCTCAGGGCTCAGCAATATTTCGCGAAGGTTGAACACATGTATCAAAGCAGGTTGCTGACAGTTTGAAGTATGTCCCAGCACGAAAAAGCCATCTTCAGGGCGCGGTTGGCAGTTCGCGAAGTCACCGGACTTCCGCAAGAGATGCCGGACCTACACGCCCCCGAAGCAGGAGCCAGAGCCCGTGGCAGCTGCCTCAGATCAGGGACAGAGAAAGGTCATCCTGGCCAGTCTCCCAGCCAAGGAGGACTTCATCGGTCTCTGCACACGGAAGTATGGCTCCATGGCAGAGCCCTGAGTTCTCCGCTCTGAAGCCGAAGATGCCGAAGGCAGCTAATCTAGGGCTGCCAGGTGGCTGCGTGGCGCTTTGGCCTCGATCCGACCGGCAGTGGATCGCTGAACTTCAACGAGTTCTGCAACGCCGCCCGTCGCCGCCCGGCCTGAAGCAATACCCCTAAAGCAGTATACCGGACCATACCCCACTAAACTTTACCCTAAGCCCTAAACGGCCCCCAAACCCACGCGATTCGCTCAGGGACTGGCTACAGGGGAAGCCTCCGCAGCTTGTGGGCCTCACGGCTGGAAGCTTCTCACATTGTTTGACAGTACAATACAAGTTAATGCATTCTGGTCTCTTGTCTTCTCTTACCTTAAACTATCTTATCTTAAGCTATCTTACCTTATCTTTATCGTACATTATATCTTTCATCTCCCCAGAGAACAGGGCCCCTAGCTCATGGAATGCAAAGGCCGAGCTGTGTGGAGATCGCAACTTGCTGCGGCTCAAGGACCTCGGAAATTTCTCTGGCCTTTTCTTTTCGCCTCCTCGATACCATAAGGGTTTAGGGTTTAGGGTTCATAATATTTTCTCATAACCCTAACACGAGACCAGAATAGTTCTGTACTAGACCAGACTAGACAATGCCATTCGATACTAGGCCATAATCATACAGTACTTTTCCTATCTAAGCTCCGGGGCTCCCCCTACCCTCACCCAAAAATTGTGGGCCATGCGCAGGACCTGGACTTTGAGAGCAGCGAAGCCGTGTGCGCTTGTCAGTTTGGGGAGGGAGGGTTTGGGGTTTAGGGTTTAGCGTTTAGGGGTAGGGAGGGCCTTGCCTTTGTTGCTTTGTGGATTCCGTAGCTGCCGGCTGTGAGGACCCGTTTCTTTGAAACCATCCACCTCACTTACGAGGACCGGGCTTCACTCCTGCATCTGATAATGCTTGCTTTCTGAAGTTACGGCACGATGTCCCCCTTGTATCAGGACTTAGCAACGGTGTGGGTAGAGATTTTCAAGAAGGACCCGTATGCCAGCTGCGATCTCATCTGTGGGTGGATGTGGTTAGCATTCTGGCCTTCGGTGTGCTTTCAAGGCCTTTCCATGGAAGACCTGTCGGCAGGCTGCAAGGCCACAGCCGTAAAAGAATGCACGGGGTGGAACACTCGTATACCAGCTTCTGGGTGCGTGAACGAGGCCTTAGGCTTTCCGGAGGATCTTGTGGAAACGCTCTTCCTCGGCCTTCATCCTAACCCAGGCCTTCAAGTATCAGTTTCCGGCGACTGAGGGGAGTGAATTGGCGAGAGGCCAGTCCGATACGCTCTTCCTCTGGGACCTGGAAGACATGTTCGCTGCTGCCTCGGCTGTGCTCTGGCTCCTTCCAGAGGCGACAGTGTCTTACACAGGTGACCACTCGGCGCCTCTGGGAGTTGAAGAAGCCGAAGTCCTTGCGAAGGCCAGATCTGAAGAGAACCGAGCTTTTCTGGGGGGCCGCAAAGCTGTCACAGGCCCGTGATGCCAGTGGGAACGTCCCTGCTCGTGGCAGCAGAGGTCCCTGAGCATGTTCGGGTGGTTCTTCCTTGGTTTTGTGGGAGTTGTCACGCATGACCTGTCATGGGGGCAGGTCAAGCTGAAGCCGGAGGAGGCGGCGTCGGCCTTCGCTCTTTTCTACACAACTCGTCCACTGCCACCGGCCAAAGGAAGACAACGAGGAAAAGGTCGAAGACATCTTGAAGCACGAGTTGACGCGACAAGCTCAGACAAGTGTGGCATGTTTCCGGTGCTACCTTGGGGTGTACATGTCTTTGTTTTCCTTTGTTCGTGTTCGTGTGTGTGCCCATGTGTGAGCATGGGCGGCCTCTAATTACGTATCGCTCCTCCCTCTCTCTCTCTCTCTCTCTCTCTCTCTCTCTCTCTCTCTCTGTCTTCGCACATGCGCATGTTCAGGTACGCACACACACACACACGCACGTACCTGTGCATACATATGTACATACGTACATACAGACATACCTGCAGACAGACATGCATACATGCATGCGTACGCACACATACATTCACCCATGCCCACATGTAGCTACCTACATTCCTAACGAACTAGCTAGCTAGCCAGCTACCCGGATACGTACATACATACATGCATACACATATAAGTATCACAGTGGGTACTTGTGTACGTTCTTCCTTTCCAAGTTCCTCTATACACATGCGCTCTTGTGTATACCGGTTTTGTTGGTGCGAATGCCCCTTGTTTGCATGTGTGTCTGCAGAGACACAGCGTGCCAATTGAACTTTACGGGCAAGCAGTGGTGTTGATCTGCTCAAGGCCACAGCTGGTACGAGAGGCCATGGCAAGGCCAGGAGCTGCAAGGGGCGAATTTCCTTGCCAATGGCAGCTGTTTTTGGGCGTCTGACGTATTTGGTTTCACCCCGTGAGGGACTTCGTGTCTACAGCCGCCTGCTGGGTCACGGAGTTGGACTGGAGAGGCCGAGGCAAATGCCAGGGATTACAAGCCAGCGCTAGCAGCTAGCAACGCCACTGTAGCCACTCGTGGAGTTGTTGGGCTTCTCAATCTCTTTTGTGGATTGCATAGTCATGAGATTTGAGCTGCATGCTTGCAGCTGTTGTCCCCGGTGTGCCCGGGCTTACCTTCAATTCAAATGCATGTTGCTGCAGCAGCACGGCTGCGGACAGTTTTCCTGACCGTTGCTGGTAGTTGCTTTTGATGGTTTGCTCCATGCCGCAGCCTGAGGCGGTTCTTCGAGATTAGTTCTGATTTTTTCTACACGGGTCGGGCACAAACACTCGACACAAAAACAAAACAACGAGAAGCATGGATCGGTGTGGCGTTGTGCTGGCCAGGCTCCGTGACGTCTCAGCAGTTCTTCGAGCTGATGCACCGGCTTGGATGTGCAGGCGACTAGCCGATTTTTGTTGCAACCATAGCATTGTCACTCATCACGACTGCCCGGTAAACCCCGAAGAGCACTCCATGCAACGCCCGGGTATGCCCCTGAGGCAATCTTCGGAAGCTCTGGGCAGAGCTGACTGGCGACCGAGGTCTGTATAGGACAGGAAGTTTCCAACACGCTGTGGCGGCGTGCCAGCCAGGTGTCCTCCGCTTCATCGACATCGATGCAAAGGCTCAGAAGTTGCTGGAGGCACTTCTGAGAGCGACGTGCTGGCTTGCTTTCAAGCTTTGGCAAACGGGCCCTCCTGCCCTGAGGCGTGCCGCAGGGAGCTGCTGCAGAACCATGGAACTTTGATGGATGCCTGGTACAAAGGCGGCCGCTATCAACATTGGCTCTCGATGATCTGAAGACCACCTTGCATCAGCTGCATCTGCAGGAATTGACCCACACGACCTGGGCATTGTGGACCTCGAGGCGTGACGGACCGCCAAAGGCTGAAGATCTTCAAATCACGAAGATGGCAAGGACTTCAGGACCGCCTGCGAGCAAGTGCTGCCGACGTTGAAGCCGAAGGAGGTCACCGAGGGACTTGCCTTAGATGTCGAGTGCCAAGTTGCATGAGAGCCGAGGTGGCGACCTTGTTCGGGTACCTCTTGGCTCGGCACGGGCAGCGCTTGGGGGCTTGGCTTCCTTCTTGGGATTAATGATATTAATGGGGCTGAGCTTCTTCCATGGATCGAGGTTCCCTGCGCAAGGAGGACCTTAAGGCCCTCCTCATTGGCGTGGCCCCAGAAGAGCGCGAGGAAGCTTGGGGCGAAGGAGGGGCCCCTTCAGAGTGGCCTTGTGCCTGACTCCGTGCTTTTGTCACCTTAGGGGGTTTCTTTGCGAAATGTGCCTTACGGAGGAATAGAAGCGGAGAAACCAGTGTCCGTTGAGGCGCTTCCTGTTCTGCTTACATAAGTGGCAGACATCGTTTGCTAAAGCAAGTTGTCAAAGGATCAAGCCCGTCTCATCGACAGCGCCGAGGGCTTCAAAGCAATGCTCCTTGCCGGATCCTTTGCAGCTCCACCACTGCAGTACAGCTCATCTTCAGAGCCGTGGTCCCAAGTAGTTCCGGTGCTGCCTGATTGTGGAAGGCGAAACATGGCAGCTTCTTTGCTGCATGGGTCTATGCCCTCGACAGGGTCTTGCTGCCTGTGTTAGCTTGTGAGCTAGCTACGTCTTGGCAGTGCCTTAATGGCCACCTGGCAGGAGAGAAATGGCTTTGTGGCGAAGCAGGAGCTTGCAAACGGCGTCTCTGTCTTGAGGAGTGTGATTTTCGCGAGGATTTTTCGCTGATCTGTCGACGACTTGGCGTGCAGAGAGTCTTGGGCTCAGCCTCGCTGTTGAATCGAAAACACCCGCCAGCGCGACATGATCATCTTCTCAAACAACTGCAAGCCTGCTTGCCTAAATCATTGCCTCGCAGTGCAAGCAGAACAATGGACGGTGTCTTTTGCCAGGACAGTCATGTAGGGCAGTGCACGTGCGCTCACAGTGACAAGTTGGCGTGTGAAAGTCTTTCTGTGTTTGCTACCGTGTAGGAAGCAAACAGATATTCAGCTGCTGAAGCCGTTGCACCTCGAGTTTTCAGCTTTCCCTCCACACCTTCCAGAGGAAGTTCTGTAGACCGACCAGTTCGTGCTTTAGAGGCTTGAGCAGGTTGGCTGCGATCGGTTCGGGCCACACCAGTCCGCGGGTAGCGGAAAAGAACCGAACTCCTGTTCGCACGCACTTTCATGAAGCAGAGAACTTGTCACTCAAAGCTTTCGGCACCTTGTGAACTCTCTAGGCTCTTGCAGCTTCTGAGTTTTGGCAGTTGCGGCAGCTTGTGCAGCCTAGAATTCAGCTAGGATGTTGAAAAAGCTTTCCCGCAGACTTTGGCATGCCGTCTGGAGACGGGTGTAGACTCCAAGATACAGACGCTGGAAGGTTTCCTACCTATGGCGCGAGTTCATGCAGGGCCAGAAAGGTGGAATCCTCACCTTGGAGGCGTGCCAACAGAAAATCCCAGCAAGTCCGAGCTTCCTCGCCGTGGCAGATTTTCGACGCAGAGACTGCGCAGTCTTGGTCGGAGCTGCACCAGCTGCTGCTGCAGGCCCAAACATGTGCCGATATGTCGCACAGTTGCATAGACTCTTTGGATTCCGTGAGGGTCAGGTGTTGCAGGACGAGGATTTGTCTGACTAACGGAGAGCGAGAAGACGTCATGCTTCGATTGCAGATGCTTCCTTCCCAACTTCAATGGAGCACACTCGAGCAGTCTGAGATTAGGATTTTCCAAGTTTGCACGTCGTAGGGCAAGTCTCACCGCGCAAGGCATCTGACTCCAAGCAGAAGTCCAAAGCTGTTGCAGCAACAGCTGCACCTGGGCGCTGACAATGATGCCACACTTGTCGTGCGAGTCTACACTGGACCAATTTCTGGTATTTGCATGTCCGAAGTTCCAGGCTGCTGATGACCAAGCTGCTGCTTCTGCTGACCCCGCGGCTGAGAGTGAGCACTTCTCCCCTGATCCAACGGCTGAACCATCAGCTGATGCATCGGCTGATCCGCCTACAGATCCTCCTCCTGGTCCTATCACTGACCCGAGAGCTGACGCGGTGGCTGATCTGGCGGGTCCTGCAGACGGACCCGAAGCAACGTGTGCCCCTCTGCCAGGGTTCGCGCTTGGTCAGCCTCTCTGACGTTCCGAGTGTTTAGGCTGGATTTGGCCACGCTACCAGCTCCTGCCAGCAATTCGAGGTCTGAGTAAGTACGACTCTGGTCATTTGCGGCAACAACTTCCATGACTATTTTAATATCCAGCCACTGTCGGGCAGGACGCCATTGCCCAGCCTCAAGGACCCCGCCCTGCCGACAGCCTTGGGAGAGAAGCGCGCCACTTCGCAGTCGTGGTCCCACCAAACAAGTATCCTTCAAGGGGTGTCGCATGCAGGAGGGTTGGAGAGTGGCTTTCGACCCTCAACACATTCGGCGCGTGGGCAGGCCGGTCGCTCCGTAACACTGGAACTGCCCCTCTTGACAGCTTTCGAGCTAAACTTGATGAGAGAAGCATGGCCTCTGAGACAGGCAGCGCTTCTTCGAGGGCTGCAAGTCTCTTGGCTACCCCAAGGTGCCAACTTTGGCTTTTGTGGAGCATCGCAGCATTGTGGATTCTTGTTGAAGGACGCAAATCGCCTCTTCGACGTGCTGCGTCCGGATCCCCACCGCGAGTACTTGGTGTTCGAGGCCTGTTCTTACTACGGCAAGGAAGCATTTCCGGAAGACATGAGCATGATGTGAGGCTTGCTTTGCATATGGCCAAGTAACAGACGTTGCATGCATGCCGAGTGCTACCGTACATCATACCAGACATGCGAGACATGAGAACGAGTAGGGAACTTGGTGAAGGACATCGTCGGAGACCTCAACCCGAACGACTTCGCTCTTCGCCTGAATCCGGACGGAGTTCCTTTCGCCAAGGACGCGTGCTGTGCACCAGCCGCCCTGGTGCCAGTGCCCATGGGCAGGACCGATATCGGACCCTCGAGGATGAAGAGGGCAAAAGACGTACTTCGGCAGGGTGATGTTGGGAGACCGTTGTGGAACTTTTCAGAGGTCATTCTATCAAAAGTTGAGAGACACTTCTCTTTCGATTCTGATTGCTGACCGCTCGCACCACCCAGGTTATTGGATGACGGTGTGCTGTCCCGGGCAAAGATAAAGAATTTGAAGTGAAACCGCTTGCGACCCGACTTTACTGCTCAACAAAGTTGCAGCAAAACGGTGCACGCACAGCGGCATGTCTTGCACATGTTAACGTGTACGAAGTTGTGCAGCACTCGCCAGCTACCGGTATGGCATTAGAAGCTTCGGAGGAGGAAGTGTCCAGCACCAGTGCCCAACACCAAGTCCAAGTCCTTCTGATTGCGGCTGTTGGTGGGTTCCGACAGCCTTTGAGCCCAAACGAAGCCCGGATAACGAGTACATGTGGGAAGCTTTCCAAGTTTCAGCAACATGCAGCGGCGTCGGCGCCAACCAGCCACCATTCCACCATGTCAAAGAACCCAGGCCTGTAGCACTTCACGAGGAGGGGCTGCAGCCCATGAATTCGCCTTACCTGCCATGGCGCCAGCCGGCTGCTCCTCTTCCAGGTGGCGAGAGGCTTACTAGGGGGGGGGGGGTGAGATTCTCATTGAGGTGCAAGCTGCACATAATATGTGCGAATATGTGCGAATACTACGACAGCTCATCGCCGGTCTGGTGGCACAGCGGCAGATTCTGTTGCGGGCGCGCTTTCGTTTTCCGCGGACTCGCGGTGTCTGCGCATGCGAGAAATAAGCCCAGGGACGGTGCCGAGAAACAAGGGGCTCGAGGTAGCGAGGCTTCCTCAGCTCTGCGAGCATAGCAGGACTGAGGGAGATGACTTCGCTGAACAAAAGAATTCATGTTTTCGGGTGGCACCAGCTTCGGGTCCTTCGAGTTGCCGAGACAGGCAAGCACTCAGTCGTGTTTATGCCCTACATAAACTGACACACGCCCTAAACTGAGTTTCTCAGGTCTGCGTGTTCAGAGACCCGGACCAGGCAAGTTCATGTCTCGCTTCTCGTCCTGGCTTCCCGAGCCCTTTTGGAAAGGTCTATGTTTTGAATCCTGCAGCTGGTCTGCATGCTGCGACGTGTCTGCGCCTCAAAGTTCCTAACGTTCTGACTCTGGGCCTGGAAGGCTTACTTCTCTCTAACCTCTGTTCCGATGCTGTCTGCTGGGCCGTTTTGCTGAGCGTCCGCAGCTTTCCTGTTGTTGCATCGGGCTGTCAGGGATTGTCACGGTAGCTACCCGTCAAGCACCCAAAAGATGACGAGCTCATGTGCTACACCGTGCTACTGCCACTGTATTCTACCTTTTTTCTGCTACTGTGCGAATGTGCGAAGATGTTGATTGTGTTTGGAAGCCAGTGCGAACACGGTGACGAAACAGCAGGTATGTGCTTCAAGCATTGTGAACAAAAGCAGCTTGCGGCAGCAGGAATTCAAGAGTTCAGCGAAAGAGTCACATCTTCAACGGCACAGGATCGTAGCTGTGCGCAGCCGTGTCTTGCATGTGCGCGGCACTGGTGGCATTGGTTTTAAGCAGACCCCATCACAAAGCAGTCTGAGGCCATTTGCGGTGCGGCCACGACCTGTTTGGCAAGGTAGCTGCCCGGGATGCTCGGGTTCCAGCTGGCTGCTCCATGTGCCCATCACGACGAACATCGCTTATTTCCTCGAGATGGCTTACCTTATCGGGATTTCGCATCCTGTCGTATCTGCCGATGTTTATTGCATTTTATCGTCGTTCTGAGTGCAACTGGCGTCGTAGGCCTCGGGCGAGAGATCCTCAGGCCGCTTGTGCGTGCCAGAAGAGGAGCGGGCCGGAACGTATGGTGATTCCCCTGAAAGGTGGAGCACTTTGCTAACTACTGTAGCGATATGTAGCGATCATAAGAGGCATCAAAAGCGAAAGCCACAACGCCACACATAGAACATGGTGGAGCTCCTAAGGTCCTAAACTCAGACCCGGCATCGTAGACGGAAGTGAACCCGTGCTAGGAGAGCAGTGGGTTCGGCGAGCAGAATCCAAGGAGGTCCAGGCTTGTCTGGAGCGCTTTGTGGAGTTGGGCTTTCAAGTTTGGAGCATGGAATTTCGTACTTCTGGCTTAGAGATGTGGGCTTGGGGTGTGGAGGGGAAAAAGAGCGAGAAGAGAAGGAGACGGCTTGAGCAGCTAGCCATGGATCGGCAGGGATCTTCAGCTGCAGCTTCGAGAGATTGTGGTGAGCCCACACAACTCTGTTGTTCCTTGGGCGCAACAGGAGAAGAAACGGAAATTCCCTCGTCTTCCACGCAGCCTCAGGCGGAGCGTTTCTTGTCACTATCAACTTCCCGTGCGCCGGAAAGTGGCGGAGAATAGCCACATGAAATATGGAGACGCTGTAGAGACGAAGTCTTCATTGGTCATATTGACGAAATGACAACATTGAAGAAAGGAAGATGGCTGTGGCCTGGTGTCATAGTGATGCTATCATGGGATATGACCTCTTTCTGCGCATGCACACGAATCCACGGTCTTCTGCTCGCCACTCATCACTGTCATTGTCAAACCTGCTATTCCGACTGCCAGGGCAGTGGGAAAACGCTTCCGAAAGATGCTGCCGACTCTAGACAGCAATCGGATTCCTAGCAGTCCAAGACTGCGTCGTGGGGCGATGTGGGGCAAAGGTCTTAGGGTTCAGCTCGAGGAATCCAACTCTGCTGTGTGACGAGGGTATACTTACCCGAGTGGCATGTGATGGCATGCAATCCTGAATAATCCTGAGGCTCTTCGGAATGTTTTTCTTCCTGGCACTCTTAGCCCGGAGCTTGTCTCACCTTCCTGGCTTTTTCCCCCCTCTCTGTGTGGCCGCACAGGTATTGCGCAGCAGAAAGCATCGTGGTGGAAAGCTTACGGAGGCTCGGGCGAATCGGGAGCCCTGGCAGTGGACTTGTGGATTGGGAAAAGAGCAGGTCTCCATCAGCCTCCTGCTGGACACGCTGGAGGGTGCACCGACGGGTCCTTGCCTCGGACCGACAGCCGCAGCCACAAAAAACGGAAAGAGCCACACTTAGATGAGAACTTGGCCCTTAGGCGACATCCAGCAGGCCCGGTCTCCCGGCTCTTTTTCTTACAGTGGCAAAGAGCCCCTTTTTTTGCTGCTGCCCTTCTCCAGGCAGTGATAGGAGCTTCGCAGTGTGCAGGGATCCCAAGCTGCGGCCAGCGGGAGCACCGTCCTTCGCGTGTTTATGAACGATGCATGTGCAAGGCAGGCTCCAGGCCTACGGTGGCTCACGCACATATCATATATCGATTCCTGCAAGTACGAGTAAGCGCCTATCTAGCTTGCTACTTATCTACTTGTCTGTTTATCTACTTATCTACCCACCTACTATTATATATATATATATCTATCTGTCTCTCTCTCTCTCTCTGTCTCTCTGTCTCTCTATAACCTTCCTATCCATCTATCCATCTATCTATCTGTCTATCTGTCTATCGCTCTATCTCTCTATCTGTCTATCTATCTATCTCTCTATCTATCTATCTATCTATCTAGTCTATCCAATTCTCTATGTATCTATCTATCTATCTATCTACCTATCTAGTCTATCCAATTCTCTATGTATCTATCTATCTATCTATCTGTCTATCTATCTATCTATTTATCTATCTGTCTATGTTCCCACCCGTCCACCTATCCACCAATCTACCTACCTGTTATTTGTCTGCCTACCTGCCCGTCTACAGACCCATGTTTCAAGCTGCTGTCTGTCAATCTGCGTATGCCCGCCGACCTCTGTCTTTGCATTTCCGCGGGGTGGAGCTACGCCGCTACTCTCGTCGTGAGGTGCTCTATCTCTCCAGCGGAGCCAGGCTGTTTGCGCGCTTGCCGACTGCCGTGGAAAGCTTGGACGGGGGCCGGGCTTTCTCGGAGCTGTTGAGATGCGCTCAGCGATTCGAGTCGACGAGGTGCCTCCCGTCAGGGAGGAGCTTTGGTCAGCACTGCGTCGTGCCAAGGCCCCCTTTTCCCCTCTTTGCCGTGTCTTCGGCCCTCAGCTTCTCCGAAAGCGTCCGCAGGTTCGGACCGTGGCCGAACATGTTAGCGGGGTGCCGCAGATCTTTGTCAGCGGCCTTTTCTTGGTGGTCTACCTGGGAATGGCCAGATCCCCTTCACGGCTCCCGATCTTTAGGCCCCCAAAGCCCAACACTGGAAGGTCTACACGATGATGCGGCGCATGACGGGTGGCCGCGGCAAGGGCTGGGGCGATGCCCGGAAGAAGGTGATGCAGGCCCAGATCAGCTCGTGTGTTTTACCCAAGTTTCCGTCCAAATCTGATCACATCCGCTCAATGCAAGGCAAAAAGCCAGTATAGGCCCATCGATGTCAATTGAGTAAACTGCTTATCCGCTGCCTGGCCAGTTCCACCCTCGCTTCTGCGCGTGTTTCTTGGTGTAGTGTAGTAGAATGTATACTAGTCATAGGCAAGCCAAAAAAACACACGGGGTCTAAGTGTAGACACATGATACCAGTAGTAAGGCATGCGCACCTAGAGAAGTTAAGTCAGTAAAGCCGCCGAGAGGCCCAGGAAGCCTCCGGATCCAATGCCTTGGTCACGCGCTTCGATGACATTGCGGGCATCGACCGCTCAAAGCTGGAGGCAAGCGGAAGGAGAAGAACAGCTGGTTCAGAGGTTGTAAGAGCAGAAGGCTGTGCTTCGAGGGTTTCGGTTGGTGAGCTTTTGAGTCTTCGGGCTCTCTTCGTGCGTACTCTTTTTGTTGGGAGCTTTCGGCTGCGGCGCCGCTTGGTGTTGGCACGTCCTTCCCGGAGCATTTTGCCCAAGTGTTCGGCTCAGAAAAAATTTGAAAAAGTAAGGCCTGAACCCCCGCTCGCGGCTCTCAGAAGTTGTCTGCAGGTCCAGGAAGTGGCCACGCCCTCAGGGCTCGGGGGCTTCCGTGGACTTTGATACGGCTCCATGCACATGCCAAAGAGGGACAGATACTCAGTTGGTTCCACATGCAATTGTGTAAATTCTGTGGGTCTTGACGGCGCAGTACGGCCCTGGCCGGGCCAAGCTGCGCCTCTTGCACTACCCTGTCGGTGTCTTGTGACAAAACTCTCGAAGCACGGGAATGAACTAGAATCTTCGCATGTC